GCAATCGATGTGCAATTAACACATCTCCTCTATTTAGAGGTATAATAATCCCTGTCACCTCCTGCAAAAAGAAAATTATCCAATCTTTATTGTCATGTTTGGCTGATCATGTACATCAAGTACCTCATTGATTATTGCAATGTTGGAAGAGACATATGTGTTGAACACCATACCCAGGACGTGCAGAACAGAACAGAAGAGAACAGAGTGAAGAAGCCTATAAATATGGTTCCTACTCCAATAAACTTTTAACTGACTAAGCTGGCTTTTCAAAACTTGGTTTTCTGCAGCTTAAAAAGGTCAAAATTGTGCATGTTCAAACTTCATGCCAGAAAAACTCTTACTATATTTTTAAAACACCATACACCCTAAAATTATTAAAATAGTTAAATGTTAATTATAGGCATTTAATAAGTAGAATATTGGCATGTTGCCACTTACTGCAATTCTCATGATGACAAACACTTTCAGATCTTTACTTGCTGAATTTTGTCATAGGTAAGAATTTAGCCCTATTTATTTCAACTACTTGATTTGCATCTCTCTTCTTAAAATGTGTAATGCTTTCATTTACCATACAGATAGAAGTTGAATAGAACGACTTCGCAAATATTTTTTTCATAAAGTTTTCTCCACAACATAAAAAAAAAAACCTAAGGGCATATTCTGTCTGGGGTATATGCACCCTGTTGATTCCTACATATCTCAAATCCTCAAATGCAGGTGGTGTGAGCCCAGGCATGCTGGAAATGGAAACCCAACCTGTGAATGATCACATAACACTGGAGAAGTAATATGAGATGCATTACTGCATTAGTACAACTGACTAGAGTAGATTTTCCATCCGCTCTCTGCATGAACTTTTTTTCTGCCAGTTGTGCCTTACTTTTCTGCAGTTTTACTTACACTGTTTTGGCACAGGGGTCCTTGCAAAAAACTTCCTGTTTTCCTGTGTACTCCTCATAGTATCTTGCAAAGAGGTCATCTTGCCTGAGAGCACCCTCCTCCAGCAGAGCCTTTTGCTATGGAGGATGGTGCCTGTGTAATACTGTATTTCCCTTTTCTGAGAGGTGGTACTGGGCCATGATAGCCAACTAGGCAGGCTTCAAGCTCTCCAGTTTACTTATCGCATCAAAGGACCTGAGTTCATGTCACATTTCTTCTGAATATCATGTCCTTTCATCCCTATTTTCTAACAGCAACTCTCTCATTTTTTTAAGTTTTTTTTAAGTTCCACTTTCAGCCGCTCCATGATTCAGTCTCTTTTTCCAAGGGGGACTTGAAAGTCCCATTCTAGTTTACTACGTTTCAGCTTGTGTGACAGCCTCAGCATCGTGGCACACATCTGATCTCAAAAAAGGGAGCTGAGAGTAGATAATTTATTAATTTATTTTCTTACATAAATATAAATACTTTCTCACATAATGAATTGCAGGCTGCAATTCTATGTGGAAATACATCTGTATTACTGAAAATATTATTAACTGAAAGTAACTATGCTTTCCTCTTCTCCAGAAAGAGAAAAAAAACCACAGTCTAGTCCAGAATTCAGTGATTCAAGAGATATGAAGGTATAGTGAAGATTTGGAGGGGTGAATTTTATTTGTATTTACCCACTTCTTTGTTAAATCTGACCACTTCCAAACACAGCAGTGTTTTAAGATTTTCAACAACAAATCCTCTCTCACTTCGGGGGAAGTGAAAACCAGTGGTATTATTTTCAGCAGGGCTGCCTCTGTAAACTCACCAGCCCAACATCCAGGACTACATACAGCAGAGCCAGTCCTGCCAGTGCTGTAGTAGTCCTAACCATGAAGCCCAAACTGAGATTTAAAATATCCCAAACTCAGGGATGATTTAGATCCAAGAATATGATTTATCATATTTTTAGAGAGTGAAATCTTGGAACTTTAATGAGCTTCAAATATAGGTCAGGACTATGAATCCAGCCTCATCGTAGATTTCAAGAAATGAAGTTCAGAGGCAGCTCTCCTGTTTGAGTTCATTGCTCTTCCTAACTGGATAATATGTTTGGTCTTTACAGCTCACCATTGATACTCTCACTTCTCTAAAATGGGAACAGAAAACTGATATCTTCTTCCAGACCTGACTCCTATGAATACGGCTAGTGCTGCTTATAAGCGGCAGCTTCTAGAGGCTGTTTAGCCAGTCTTTAAAAGAGATGTTCTATTTCTCTCTCAGCTTCCCCAACAGACATATGTGATGATCTACACATGTGCAATAGGTCTGCATATGTACAGCAGATATGCCCAGGGTTATTCTTCCTCCTCTCTCTGCTTTCTGACTGGTTGAAATTAAAAAGTAGAATAACCAGCATCTAATGTCAAATTCCTATTCCTGCTCTCTGATGGATCCAGTAGTGACTCTGTAGCCAACTTACTTGGAAACTTTCAGGAGAGAATGAGCAGCTGCTTTGGGACTAGTTTGGAAATGGATTGGGACTGGAGAGACTTTTGGCCTCATCTCTCAGTACCAGCCCCGATATACAAGCAGGCAGCACAAACCCAAACCAAAAAGCCGGAACAGGGAAAGGACAGCAGAAGCTTATCCAAACCTGGCAGGAATTCATAGCAGTGGTGGCAAAGCCTCAGTTTAATCCTAAAGATTAAATCCTGAAGTCATTCCTTACTTCTTGTTCATGGAAAACATTTGCTAACAGCAAAAATGCCCAAACAACTCTGTTTTTTGAAAGAGCAAAAATGAATCCCTGTTGCCTTTCTGTGCCACTTTACACATCCAGGATCCAACTAAGTCTTTTTCAGATGCTCTGAGCAGTTTGGTAACAGCCTACTTTTCATCCCATTGGTGTGTACCTATAAGCTTTTACTGGCATCAGAAATTAAATTGCTGCAGAAGCTTTCTCTCCTGGTATTTCTGGCTGCAGTGGTAGTAGTGAAAAATCTCCTAGGCTGACTGTTCTAGCATGATTTTCAGCCAGTTCTGTGGGTTGCAGGGGTTAAGGGAATTCAGATAAGGCTATGAACTTGTATACAGTTGTCTGAATCTTATTTGCAAAGTTTTCAGAGTTCATCCATCATCATAATGGGTCCTGTGGGATGTTAGTGGACTCTGGAGAACATTAGCCGTTTTCCCAATTTCATAACACTAGGACTGGTGAGTATTGTTACATACTGTAAGACATCATTTGCCAGCCTGAAATGTGATGTTTATATAAATATGTCTGGAACATACAATACGTCTGAGGGACCAAATAAAAAATAACCAAAGGTTTTCAAAGAGCAGCGGAAATTCAGGGGTGAGGCGGGCACTGAATTTTGACGTGCTTTCTTACATCTGTGTTTGTCTAAGTATACTTATGGTCATGAAGAAGAAGCTGGGAGATTTCTGTGAAAAGATGCCCACATCTTAACTTTCTTCCTAGAAGAATAAATAGCAAATTTCTGCGTCTCCTGACAGGGAGCTGGTATAAGAGCATTCGTAAAATTAACTTTGAAATGATGGGTGTTGTTTTTCTTTTGCAATCTTTCAGTAGTATATGCTCCCACCTAGGAAGGTTAATACAGGCGCATCTGTTTGCTCTTTTTAGATGTACTGATGCACGAAAAGACTCTGTGTGGGAGATGGGCTTTTGTTTGTGTTTATTTCGGTGTGAGGGAGGTGAAGGCTATTTTTAAAATAGTGAGTTCCAAATGGGATGTTCATTTATGAAGCTGTTGCTGTGTTTCATCTTCTTTGAAGCTCTGGGGTTTTTTACTTACCTGATTCTTTGTAGGTTTTAATATTTGCTGCAAATGTCACTTTTATTAACAAAAAAAAAAAAAAAGAAAGAAAAAGACAGTACTAACCACTTTGTCTTACATAAGAGAGAAAGCCATAGGTGCTGAAAAGGGGAAACTGCCTAAGAAAGAGAGAAAAGAAGAGGAAGGGAAATGGATAGCTCTCAGTGATTTTTCCAGACTTGAACCACTGTGCTTTTATTCCCATTTGGTCATAGATACCAAAACCAGAAATATGTAGATAAGGAAGCACGGACCACTTTTACCTATAAAATATGAGGCTATCCTTAAGCCCCTATCATGAGCTTTGAGTGTAGTGATACAAAATTGAATCTTTTTTTGTAGCACCTGAAGCAACCGCTACTGAAGTGAGTGGGATCTGTACACTGACTGACTTTAATCGGAGCTGGATCAGACCCATGAGCCACACCAATTATGTTTCTCCTGGCAGCTAAATTGACATGCCTGTCTGCATAAAGGACTCAAAAATGATGTCTTATCTTTGAAAACAACCCAACACTTTTGTATTCTGATCCTAACTCTAACGATGTTCCTTCACTGGGTTTGTATAGGGACAGAACATCAGCCCTCATAATATATATGTACATGTGAATATTATTTTTCATTAACAAAACATGTTAGCATAGAGACGTAAATTATTTACACTTTACAAAAAACAATTTTACTCACAGGTATTATGGAGAGTTCAAATTTTGTGAAGTGACAGTTTTCCTTAATAAATATCTTGAGTTGTGCATTTTTTTAAATAAGTTTGTTTTACAGAAATACAAATTATTGAATCAGCATTGCTGTTTGTTTTGTTTTCAGTTGGATCATTTTGCAGGTCCTGCTTAGGGTGCAGCCATGTGACATCTAAATCAGTATACTGGAGAGGGCTGCACTGTCTACCAGTGGTAAATGAGGCCTCCCGTATAATTGGGTCTGATGCTAACAAACAGTAACATGGATCAGGCAGTTGCTTAAGCCATAGATACAAAGGTAATAGGTGTTACCTTAAGTTTTTCTTGGTGAACATCTTGGAATACAGTGTTGACCCATCTTTGCACATTAACAATGTCAATTCTTTCTCACACTTTGGCTACTTGAAAATCTTGTGATTTTGACGTTTTAAACGTGTCTCTGAACATCTCTAGTGCCAAACATAAACAGAGGTACCAGAGGACAAGGACAGGGATACTATCACAGAGTCTTTAACTAAATATATCCTTTTTTTTTTTCCAGAGGTGCGGGGAAATCTCATTTGATAGTCCTGACCAGAATGCCAAATGTGTTCGCATGCTAGGTAAGGGTAAGAGTCTTTTCCCCTTTTGATACAAATATGTGGAAGTATGTTTAATTGGGGATTTCTTCTCTAAAGTACATGATAACGGCTGTGGTGATTCACATTAATTTATTCTTTATGGTGAATTGTCAATTACTTAAACAAAGTATATATATATTCCAGTAGTGCCCATCTACACAGATGAAAATAGAGCTGTACCAACACTATAATTGTAATCTCTGAGGTACTCAAGTCCAGAACTCATATTCGAAAGCTGAAAATCTCTGTCATCAAGCCTGATTTTTAAAATCAGCCTGGGAAAAATGTGAACTTTTGTAGACTGCACACCTTTAATGCAAAGGAGCATTTATGTGCTTTGAAAAAGAGTATCAATTTCACAAATACATATCATATGCCTCTAGGTCAGACCTTCAGCTTCATCAATCAGCAAAATTTCAACCATTGTGATTTTATAGATTTGCACCAGCGTAGCACTTTGCCCATCATTTGTAAAAATTAATATTAAGCAGAAGTGTCTATTCTTTGGAAACAATACAGGAATGTTCTGCTATGTTTCATTAATTTCTGTGACCAATTTTATTGTATTTGCTTGTTTCATCTTCAATGCTAGTGCTGAAACATTAATAGCACGATTAGTATCACAGCGAAAGACAGGGAGTAAGTGTCTAAAAACCTAAAAGATAATGTTTACTCAGAAAAAATGAAATCACGGAACACTTGCAAGATTAGGCTTTAAATGTTGAAGACCTTTCACCTGCCAGGATTGAGATAAATGTATGCTGTAAATTAGAGCATTGCATCTAATAACATGAAGACTGAAATAGTCACAATTTTAAAAACTGCAACTGGCAACGTCTAGGAACTTAATTCCCATCTGGGTGCATAGCTGTGTTCTGTAATAACAGATTATGTGGTTTGTTGTTTATATTCATTAAATCCTATTGTCACAATAGACTATAATTGCTGCAGAGGAAATCTGTCATGCTTATAGTGCACAGATCCCAACAGATGAACTGACACAATGGGCCGTAATGATCTGTTACATCAATGATCCATGGTTAGAGGTTCTTAATGGAACAAGCTGACAGAAAAGATACACTTGTGATCCTTTATCATGCCAATTATAATCTACAGCTTAAACACAATTGAGTTCCTAATACTGTAGTTCTAAGGAAGTTATATCGATGCAAATGTTATTATCCATTAGGCAAAAAAAAAAGCAGGGGGGTGGGGGTGGGGTAGTTGAGAACAAAAAAATTACCTGAAGATGAAAGTCGTCTGCACGGGTTGATTCATCATTTGGTTTGGCATTTTTATAACAAGTCAGTCCAAAACTGGGAGTTTGGCATCATCTGTAATGCAAATGATTCTTTAGGCGCAGTGAGCAGAACAAGATCTTGTTTCCATTACATTTATTCTTACCTAAGTCTTGTAGTATATGCATGTGCAAGAACATATGCTGTGCTCTGTAAGGCAACTGCTAGGAATGTAAAAATGACTCCAAGGGGTCATGCCAAAGGTGTGACTGGCTCTCAGAGGTTACATCTCTTCAATTAAAAAATATTTCACCTGCTATTATTATTCTTCAGTGTCTCTAACAAATTAAGGACTGTAGTGTCATATATAATATAGGATATTATATTTCACCCCAAGGTATCCCAAATCATGTACAGAACTGAGGTTATTCTAAGTGCAAGTGGATATCCCACAACTGGCTCTGTAAGAGGTATGGGAAGTAGAAACTAACATTATACAGTTGCTCTGAGACAATACTCTGATACTGGAGACAATCATCTCCACTGTCTTGATTTATCACAGAAATGTGTTCGGTTCTGCTAGTGCTGTAAAGCCAGAGGGTGTCCATTCTGGTACCTCTCCGTTCACACTGGACTCTGTACAGAAGAGCAGGAGCCAGAAATCATGCAACCTAAAAGGTCTAAGACTTTGTGCTGAATGCATCGTGTAGTGTCCAATTTCAGATTTTACAAGGGAATTGAATTTCTAAGAGAACGAAACACAAAGTTGATCAATGCAAAGCTGACATTATAACGTCTGTGGGCATAACCAGTGAACAAAGCACAACACTCCTTCAGACAGGGGCATCTTCCTTGACTGCACGGTCTTTAAAATGTGCTAAAACAGTCGTGCTGTCATTTACTGTAACAGTGACACAGTGCTGACAGAAATCTAGAGGGCAAGTCCCAGCAACTGCAAGAGGATAATTACTTAGTAAGAAAAGAAACACAGGATTCTGGAGTACTGACTGTATTTCTTCAGGGATCTTTGACATAAGACCGGTCCATACTTGGAACTGTACATTATCAAGAAGTACTCGAAAATGGTAACAGCTGCTTTTGTCAGAAAAGGTCTGTATCTAGGTTATACTACTGGTTCTGGGTTAGCTTCAAATTTAAAGGTTTTTATGAGTAAACCTGGGCTTGCTACTCTGAGTCCACATTCCTTGAGGTAACATGGATTATGTGAATGAGGTTCTTTTTCTATAAAGGTTGAGGAAGAGAGGTTTGCAGTGAAAATCTTATTCTATTCCTATCTTCCGTCTGGAAACCAGGAAATAAAGAAATGCCTAAACGCTTACAATGGCTATAGTAAAAGCAGGTAACTTTTCAATGGACTGACTAGATATTGCTCAACCTGAGGTTAAGAGCAAAAGAATCAGTTTAATGCCTCATCTTTCAGCATTGGAGTGATGGATGTTTATAATCCAAGTGTGATGCTTTATATTGTGCTTGTTTCTTTACACTTCTATATGTTATACTAGTTAAAGCAATACAACTTTTGTAACTGTCACAGAAGAAGGTGTGGCTCACCTTAGCCTTTTGAAGATCAGTGTTCAGATCCTAAATCTATCACAGATTTCTTGAGCCTGGCATTGGCTAAGACTTTAAACATCCCTGCACATCCATTGTCCTTTGAAAAATGGGAAGAGAAGTGCTTCCTCACTTCTTAGGAACAACAAGAATAAATTTAGAAGTACAATAAGAAGCTGAGGTAGTATATAATTCAGGTCATAAAAATACCACACCGTCAATAAAAGTGTTGTCAGAGGTTTCCCTTGAATCTCCGAGTCCCTCCGGAGCCACCAGTAGCTCATCAGCACTTCCAGTGCAAGGTGGAAAATCTGCACTGTTCTGCTTAAATTGGAGCTGTTATCAAGTTAGTGAGGGCACTCGACCATGACAAAATTGCTAGATAATGCTGAACTGGATGTCAAAAAGCTTTTGCTTTATGCTACATTCTGGAAGTTAGAACCCCGGGCTCCTCATGCCCTTTACTTATAATGATTTTGACTTAAAAAAATGATAGTGCAAAAATTGAGCATATAGCAGAGTACTCGCTATGTGGTTATTAGTCCAGATATTCATATTATGAAGGGCAGAAGGGAACTATCCCTCTCCCTAGAGCGCTCGCTGCTATTTTCAATGGCACAACCTGTGGTTAATTTTTCCCATATGTAGACAGCAAATTCTGGGCTCAGACATGACACAATGTCGTATCATGCAGAGATAATTGGGTTAGTTTGCTGTGAAAATTGCTGGTTGGATGCCTAAGCTAATTAACTCTGCTGGGAAGAATTGCATACTAGCTTGAAAGAGTCCAAAGTTAAGGCAACTTAACCGGTTCTCACATCTTAACTAGCTCATCCAAAGCTAAGTCAGTAACCTCTACCTGGCAGAGCACTGAGTTTTATGAATTTATCCTGGAAATAATAATGTTCCCATATCAGGCTCTAAGATTAGTACAGAAGGAAAAAGGTCTGCCAACTAGACGAGAAACTTGAGTGTACAAATAAATACCAGTTTATACAGAATAGAGACTGTTATCCTTATATTTACTGTATAGAAAGTAGGCAGCTGCACTCATCATAACACACACAAAATTAAATCATCCCATCGGTTTTAATCTGTGCAACCTTACTGATGACAGTGGCGTAAGGGGGATGTATGATAAAAGCAAATTATCTAGTTTGTTACTCTAGTAACCAGTCTTCCACCACCAGATTTGGTCTTTACTCCTTACTGAAACACTGGGTAGATTTTGAAGAGGTCACATCTCTTGCTGGCCAACCCTGCTGTCTGCAGACATTTTTCCAGGGGAAATGCGAACTGCCCTCCTTAAGGAGCTAGTTAGTAAGATGAAAACACAAGCCTTCCAGACGCCCCATAGCAAATGGCTGAGGTGCTTTCTTTTCATTATTGTAAATTCCGTGCAGACAGGAATAATGCGGGTGAGTTTTGTTTCCCTTTTGGTGCAGGCTTAATCCTTGCAGAAGCAGACAGATGAATCCTTGTTTGGAATAAAAGTAGTTTCCTCAGGAATAGCCATTTAAAATTCATCCAAGAAAAAAGCAATCCAAAAAAAAAAAAAAAAAGGGGGGGGGAAAAGGGTGGGGGGTGGCACCTTTTTTTTCTTCCCCAGACTACTAGAACATAACTTTGTTGCTTTGGGGCAACAAACTTTTTCGTATTCCAGCACAGAGAGGTGCCTACCTCCCTCCCCCTGCAAAAAAAAGCTGCTTTGTGGCATACTTCCACCATTTATTACCTATGGAGAGTTATGGTTAAAGGAATCGGCATTTGGCCATGAAATGAGTTTCATGGATCCAGCTTCAGTCTTGGTGGCTCTTTGCCCACAGCAGAAAACCACCACACATTTGAACAGAGTTGGCAGCTGCAGCTTAAGAGAGAGAGACATTACTGGAATAACAACTGTGTTGAAAGCCAGGACTGAGGGGTACTGGCAAGGCTCTGGCTGGCTGGCCTCTGCCTTACATAACTGTTGAACTCACCTTCACTGGGAAAGAAAAAAAAAATCTACTAAAATTTACTTGGAGAAACCTAATCAGGTAAATAACCTAGTGGGATAGGATTTATCAGGTAAATAACTTAGTGGGAAAAATAAATATTGAAGAATAGTTAAACATGTCAATTTGCTCTGAAGTGGAGGGAGAACAAGAAATGAGGCAGCTATTCAAATGGTTC